ATAGCGTTTTTAAATGTTCTAAACAAATGATCCTTCAGCCATTTTCAACTAATACTACTTGCACAACAACAATACAAAATTGTTGGTTGGCTCTTTATGACCAAAATTGTGAATAATAGCCTAATGTATAAAGGGAGCGGTACCAAAAAAAAACTAAACGTATTAGGGTATAAGTATATTCTAGAATCCTGATGAATGTGGGCCTTTTAGTGGAATACTTGTATGAGAGAAGAATTAGCCAAATTTCTATTTAATTCCACTACCTTAATTGCTGATCCTTGACAGATATGCGTATTTCGACTACAATGCACAGTGGGCCAGGAATTTAATCTAGTAGGAAAACAATGATAACGATCTGGGATTGCATCCAATTGAGTTGACGTCTTCAGTAAAGTTTCTTGGATTAATTAATACTACAATTTGGTGGATAAAAAAAGTTCAATTTTTCGCCGTAAAGATGGCGCAGCGATACAAACTTTGATATTTCACAAGATAGAGGTTTGCTGTTTTTAAAAACAATAGTTGTAAAACGTAGAATACAAGTTGTGGAAGAAGATGATGAAGCTGTACATCTTCAAACAAGTGAGATATTCGAATTTTTATAAAATTTGCCATAAATTCAAATTTTTAGTATTATATTCTGAGCAATCATTCAAAAGAATACTTTTTCTTGATCGGTACTGATCAATCCAATCTTTTCCAGATCAATGCTATTATTTTTAGAGTACTGAAACATATATATCACTTGGAATTTGAAAAAAAACAGGGTAGGTGTTTCAGTAATAGTTGTGTTGCGGTATGGAGGTTGTGCCGGAATAGTGAGGAGGACCCGGATAAGATTATTTTTCATCGGGAGCTCTCCTAAAACAAAGCATATTTGCATATATCAAACATAAAATATGCCCATCACGGAAAATGATTAAATTTCCTTAAGAATTTCACTCATTTGCACCTATAGTTGCGGTAATGTTCCTATAATAGTGGAACCCATAAGAAACCAACGCATTCCACTATTATAGGAACCAACGTTAGCAACTACCACAACTACTTGAACTGTGTTCCTATTAATGGAGGACGATCTTTCTAAAATTTTATACAATTTTATTACAATGGAATATGTTTCTATCAAAATAGAGGTTGAAAGTTATAGATTTACGTATAACAATTGTGTGTACATCTAATATTTATTTTTTAATTGATAAATTGGCTTAGTACCTCCACTACTGGCTCACCCACACTATTTGATTTCCTGAAAGAATTTTCTAAAAAATGCGCAAGTGAACGCAAAATGTCATCAATTATTCAAAATTTAAATCAAATAGACTTTAATTCCTCGAAATATCGCAGAGGTATATTCAGATATATTTGAGATATTAAAATGTGAATCAAACAATATATTTTATTTATACAGATGGCAGAAGATGGATTTTATTGGAATGTACTCAAGAATTTATTTGAGAATCATTCTCTTTCACAGAATTTTTCAAAATTAAATGTTTGATTATTACTGGGGCCCCTTAATTCAGCCATTCCAAAGCTGAAATTTGTAGTTTTGTTCCTTATTGCAAAATATTAAATCGTTTTTTTTTTAAGAATGACCATTTCCATGCTAGGAGGGTTCAAAAATTCATAAATGTTGAACCACTGGGCCGATTTAAAAGATCAAAATATCAAATGAAAGGTAATTAAAAATAGTTTATTTAAAAAAATTAGGATTTTGTTTTGAAAAACATTGATTGTATTTGTTTTTCCATGGTTTGTATACAGAGGGCGCAATATTTTTCTATATTTTTTGAAGAAAATTTAGGCTTTTTTATACAACATATAAAAAATCAGCGATGCGTTTTTTTTATGTTGTTGAGTTATATTTTTGGTCATTGAAAAAAAAAATTGGTCAGTAGATTTGGGTTAAGGCAAATTTTAAATGACCTTAATTTTGACTTGAGTTGCAGATTATAAATTTAGAAGCAATGGCAAGACCCCAGAAGAAAATAAAAGTAAAGATATTGGGCCTAACTAAAGTTTTAGGATTCTGGAGCTTGGTCAAATTTTAAAGATCATCACCAGATCAAAACATTCAATATTCTACTCCTCCAAAACATTATCAAGTTCTTTAACTTTAAAAAAATATATTAATTCCTAGATAATCCAAATAAATTAGGACTTAAATAGGTACAGTGATAAATCCTTAGTCCAGGATGCTTTTTTTTTCGTCCGTATTAATTTTTCCGAATATTTTGACCCCGTTAGTTGGTTGAAAAGAATAGCATTGGAATCCAGAAAAATGAACACGAACAAAAAAAACCATCCGGGAATAAGAATATCTGACTGTTTATAAAGATGCAGATGCTGTTGGACAAAATATTCATAAATTGAATTTGAATTGAATTTGAATTGAATTTGAATTGAATTTGAATTGAATTTGAATTGAATTTGAATTGAATTTGAATTGAATTTGAATTGAATTTGAATTGAATTTGAATTGAATTTGAATTGAAATTGAATTGAATTTGAATTGAACTTGAATTGAATTTGAATTGAATTTGAATTGAATTTGAATTGAATTTGAATTGAATTTGAATTGAATTTGAATTGAATTTGAATTGAATTTAAATTGAATTTGAATTGAATTTAAATTGAATTTGAATTGAATTTGAATTGAATTTGAATTGAATTTGAATTGAATTTGAATTGAATTTGAATTGAATTTGAATTGAATTTGAATTGAATTTGAATTGAATTTGAATTGAATTTGAATTGAATTTGAATTGAATTTGAATTGAATTTGAATTGAATTTGAATTGAATTTGAATTGAATTTGAATTGAATTTGAATTGAATTTGAATTGAATTTGAATTGAATTTGAATTGAATTTGAATTGAATTTGAATTGAATTTGAATTGAATTTGAATTGAATTTGAATTGAATTTGAATTGAATTTGAATTGAATTTGAATTGAATTTGAATTGAATTTGAATTGAATTTGAATTGAATTTGAATTGAATTTGAATTGAATTTGAATTAATTAATTCAAAAAATTGAAATTCATTAATTAATTAATTCAAAAAATTCGACGGCGATCTGAAATGATGCGTTGAAAAAATCTGCATTTGAATTTTAAGAAAATGCATCACAATAAATTGAACCTCAAACGTCCAAATGTGAGTGAAAATGATAAATAAAGTAAAATATGTCATATGAACCTGTTTTGCTGTGAATTCGGGACCTCACGGACTTCAAAACCTACCGACCCGAATACCAAAAATACCGGAATTTCTTAGCTAAAAATATAAAAAAATACCGCGAGCTATGTTTTTTTTTAATTTAAAAAATCAGTTTTCCTATTTCAAAAAATTCAACATAAAATTCGACTTATTAGGCTCAGTAAATGGTTTGACTTAGGAGCCTTGGAAAATTTCTTATGATTCTGGGGCACTGAAAACTATAAATTTCTCTCACTTTGCTCTTCAGTTCTCAAATTATGGCTTGGTACTTGTGAAGATTTCTAATACTTTGTTTCGAAAGGTACAATACAGATATAACCAAGAAATAGAGTTGTATATGTACATCAATATAGTTGCTTATCTAGAGCTGTTTTGATAAATTTTTTTTTTTCAATTATCTTCCAAATCGTTGCAAGATTTTTAACCAAATTTGATCAGCTTATCCAACAAGAGATCAAAAACAATCATTGCGAAATTCAGACAACATATTAAGATTTCAATAGGTTACTGTGGAATAAATTTTTGAAGTTATGAAAAAAGATCCATGCCTCGTATTGTTTTTATCAAGCATTGAAGATTTTGAAAGCAATATATTGTTTATATTCGCCTGCTTTTATCTTAACTTTTGAAAATCAAAACGTGGGATGTCAACACGGCCAACCCTTCTAACTATACGGTATATTATCATCAATTCAGCTTGAGGTAATAATTAGTAGAAACCAACACGACACGTTCTTCAGCGCTATATTTGTGTAAAATGAAAATAATCATTTTGAATTTGATCCTCAAAATCAGCCCCACCAAATTGAACACGAATATTAATATTGACAATAACAGAGGCGATAATCAAAATCTCAGGATGAAGAAAAACAAATCTTGACTTCGGTACTCAGAGATTACCTTGATCAAGAGAATGCTGTTATGTCTAAATTCAAATTCATGCAGGTAGTTTTTTTTTTTTTTTTCCTTTGGTTTGTTTTTTCCGTCGATCTTGTTTTCCGTGCTGAGCACCAATGCTACCGACGTGCCAGGAAGGCAGCTCCTACACCTGGACCCTACCTATCGACCCATCAACTCATGAACCGGGGACCAACGGCTTTACTTCCCATCCGAAGGAAGGCGTGATCAGAGATGTTATGCCTCAGAACATCCCGGCGGCGCCGACTGGGATTGAACCCAGGCCTGAGAGGGGTGGGAGGTAATCACGCTTACCACTACACCACCGGCGCCGTTCATGCAGGTAGTTGGTCTATCTGATAAGGTTGTTTTCATTTTCAGCTTAGTTAGCTTACTGCATCAGTAAGGCAACACCCCCTTGTAGGTCTATTAGTTCTTGCAAAACCGATATCCAGCCATGTAGAAACGACTTTTTCCGAAACTCATTCTTACCTTTCAACAACCTTACAAAACCGACCCATGCTTCCAAACTGCATACAAATCTACACTTACAAAACAACGGGAAAGGTCAGTCTGTGGGAATATCCTCTCATAACGGTTCAACGCGTTTCTTCTTCCTGGTGTCTACGAGATTTCTAATTTATTCCTAAATCCTAGCTAATCCTATCAATAATCAACGTAACGCTCGCTCTAGCGTTTATAGAACCATCATAATTGACTAGAACACCTATCTGCAAAGTTGCAAAGTACGTAAGCGCATTCGGTTTATTTTTACGATCCTAGAATTTCTACCACTTGTGTGCAGTGAGATCACCAATACCACTTGGCTCCCATATGGCTCCCATATGCCCTAAACATTTTCGCGTGGAATTAACAACCGCAATCAGATATGCCGTAAATCGTAATCTTTTTTGTACATTTTTATCAACAACGGATAGTGGATGTTTTCATCGTACCCGTCGGTTTTGATCAGCTCCAGATGTTTGTCCCAGATTGCCTCGTTGTAGCAGTGCAGCAGATCGTAGTAGAAGCCGCGGGCGACGCATTCGTCGAGAAAGTGTGTTAGGGTGTGACCCCGGCGGGGAGCCGTTATGAGAGCCACTCCTTCATCTGCCAGAAACAACCAGATGGCATCGATTAGGTGCGAACGAGACTCGTCGAAGAAGAGACAGTCCGCCGAAAGGATGAACTGGTACCGGGCACGATCGGAATATTTAGCGTATTGATCGAGGCAAACCGATTCCCATTTCAGGACGGAGGTTTTAATTGTGCTATTGAACTTGTTCATGTTCAGCGATTTTCTAACATTCTCGACCGATAGATCGTTTCCATCAGTAACGTGGACAAAAGACGGATTGCCATATTTGGCCAAGACAAGCCCTGCGAGACAGGTCATTCCACCACCCAACTCCAGAACATTAGTGTTTTCAAAAATATTCAATCGTGACAGAATGTAGTAGGCCAAGGCCTCTTCGGAAGGCCACACACAAATGTTCCCCGTATTGTTGAATCCAATCAGCTCCGATGCTGTCCAAGGTCGTTCACCGATCAGCCGAATCTTCAACCGGTACCGATCGGCCAACCTGTAGACGAATATATTTTCATCCTTCTCGTCGTATGCTCGATCAAACTCGATCAAGTTAAACTTCGCAAACTGATCATCCTCACTAGAGTCGTGCCGCAGTGCCTTGGCCAACAACTTCCACCGTCGTCGCGCGTTTACAGTTTTACTCTGGTCTTCGTTCCGCGTTCCGCCGCTAATGTGATGGCTATTTTCGTTCGCACTACCATCTTGCTCCACTGCCTCGCAAAGACCATGGCGTTCCGTGGCCGCAACCGTCAGCAGTTCAATCGCCGAGCCCGACGTGATAGCGTCGTACTGGGATTTAATTAAATTACTGTGCCGGTCTTCTGACGTTGACATCACCTGTTGTCGATCTTTCGCGCCGTATCTCTCACTGCTGTCGTCGTTGTAGTCGTCGTCGTCGTCGTCGTCAGAGACAGTTCTATGTCATAGCAAGTCTCAACGCCCCGTACAGACGATGTGTGTCAGCAGTTGATGTTCATCTTAGAACGCCAACCGACCGGGAACACCGTTTGAACTTTCGTTCGTTGTTTAACGTCCAATTAAAAACCTGCCTTTGCCTGATCTGCACGTCCGCAAGATCAACGGATACGCCGCGGCGTTCGCTTAATTTGTAACATCCAGGTACACCGGTTCCTGTAACGAAAAGAGCAAATCAAAATACATTTCCATCAGTTTATTTATATCGGAAACCTTTCAACGGTAGTACAAGCGATAGACTAAGTGCACCAGGGATTGACTCAGAGCTCCGAAAGGCCATTCAGTACATCACCGGGGGCACTTGAGCGAATCTAAAGCAACAGAAAACCGAACCTTTCTTCCCGATATCGATAAAACCACTCAAACGCAGATCCCTAGCAGCTTGGTTGCATCTGAATCGTTTAGTGGTATAGTGTGGTGCTTCCCGCGTGACTATTGGACAAACAAATATTTACACACAAGCAGAGTCCATATGTCAATATTGCGTATCAATCAGCAGAGCTCGATAAAGGCCAATGACTGTAAATTAAATCGTATAAAACATTGGTCCGGGCCATTAGCCCGGGCCCCTGCTTGTCCCACAGAATCCTATTACGATTGATGTACGTGTATCGACACAGTCAAATGCGATTGATTTTCAATTTACTTATCAGTTCCAGATCGATGGGGAAAAACCTGGTAAATTAATTAAATGGAATAAGCCAATCAAAACAGGCAGTGGCAGTCTTACTCTGTCCATTATATTTGAAACATATGAGGATTTTAAACTAAACTGAATGTCAGCTCACTGTGAATGGGCTAAAATTAAAAAAAATCATATATTTTGTTCTTTTCTATTGTATTGATCCAAACGTGGTTCAAATACCTAACCGGTCAAGAAATTTTTCGCATTCCCTGGGCATCGAGTATCATTGTGCTTGACACACAACATGCATTAATTGGCAAACAAAGCTCTCACTTAATAAGCATGGAAGTATGTACGAAAAGATCACAAACAAGTTGAGAGCAGACTTAATATTCCAGTTGGAACGTAATAGCAAAAGAAGAAGATGAATCGTATCACAGTCACGTCACCAACCATACAAAAAGAAAGCAGTGCTTTAGTGCCAAAATCTACTGAGCTGACAAAACATTAGCAAAGTCAATTGGTGCCACTTGAGAACCATTAAATCATCTCTTCGGAGAATAATGTGCTCCAAGATTGCCATCATGTGCTCCCTTGATTTACGGCTATACAGTTTCGTTGTGCTGTGAGCAATTCCAACAATGCTCCGCGTTGGCCATAAACAACCGCAAAGCAAATTAGTTGTCTCGCGTAATAAAAATTACTTTGAAAGCACTGTTTGCCGATCGTAGCAAATTATACAGTATATGTGCGACTATTTATTGGTTTCATATTTTCGCACCCTCCCATATTTTCGCACCCTCCCACATGCGCGTCCCTTCTCTCCAGGGACCTCCACCCCCCGCCATTCGCACAAGGACAAGACGATGAATAGCAAACCGTCCGAAAATTGAAACACATGTCTCGGTTCAGTGTTCAATTTGTTTCATCCGGACAAGCTGTTAGATGATCCCGGCTCTATTACTCGCACTCCCAGCCAGCTGTCCAAACGGGGCTGGGTGCAAAATTTCACTGCCGCCACTCACCTGAATGTGTTCGATTGCGCCGGCAGTCAGTCGGTGGGTAATGAAAGCGAGCCGTTTTGGAACGCATCATGCCGATCCACGCTTCTTGTCGCTGATGATGATGATGATGATGATCATCATCATCATCATCGCCGACAGCGCCGTCGTGATTTGTTTTCCTTGCGCTTCTCAAAAGTAACGAAATGACGATTCACCTCGCTCCACTTGACGATCACCCACTTCTGCTCACCGTCTCAAATGGCCGGTCCATGGCTATGGCTAGTTTGCTACTGCGGGAAAGAGTGTGTGACAAAATTTATGAATGAATTTTATTTTCGATGCCACCCCCGTACCACGCTCTTCAGGGGGTATTTACTGGTTTGTAGACAGAGGTTTGTGGTGATGAATAGCACTGTTTTTTTTCTTATTGTTCCTCCCAGTTTTGCGCTTTTGAATCGATTTTAATTTCGGTGGGATTTCTTTTGTGAATGAAGACAAAATCAACTGATGCCGATGGGAATGACAAGTTCTTAAGTGCCGTACGAAATATTATAAATAGTTAATTAATCAAAATACATCCCATTTTATATAAATGACAGTGGGGTCCTAAGATAGTATCAGTTAAGGTATGGTTGACATGACTGGTTCTCTACAATGCGATGATCAATCATTGTGATTCAGCCACTATTAGAAAGGTATAACTATCAACTTTCATTTGAAACAGTAAGAAACCATATTGGACCTGTGGTTGGCAAACCGGAATCGACAAACCCAGAGAAGTCCCTAGAAAAATGCGTGTCAATGCATGTTGATATGACTGGTTCTCGGCAATTTGGTTATCAAATTTTAAGATTGAGCCACTATTCGAAAGGTATGACTATCTACTTTCTATAGGAACAGACAGGGAACCGATTGGATCTATGGTTGGCCAGTCGGAACTGGAAAACCCCATGAGAGGTGATTTTGCGGAAATTCAGATTTACCGGGAAAATGGTCAATTCCTGAAAGTAGACCTAGAGATCAGCGTTTTTCTCTAAATTCCATACAATAATAAGTATAGTGGTAATCACTGGGTTGACCACTCCATACTGCTAGCTAAACTTGAAAAACTCGGTGTATCCTCGGGTTTAACTCGTTGGTTCAAGTCCTATCTCACCAATCGGGAACTTTGTGTTAGAATCGGATCAGAGCAATCGGACTATTTTACAAACAGCTCCGGTGTTCCTCAAGGTAGCAACTTAGGACCATTGCTATTCTCGATTTTTGTTCATGAGGCCAGACTGATCCTCCCAACTTGTTTGTAGCCTCGCCGAATGCTTGCGGCTTCAGCGTTAGAAGAGTGGTGCTCAAGAAACTATCTCACGTTGAGTGTACAAAAATGTAATATTATCTCATTTCATCGCAAGCTAAACCAGTGGCATTCAACTATACGATAAATCACCAACTTCTGCAACGTGTGGACAATGTTCGTGACCTAGGAATCACGCTGGACTGCGCCTAAACATTCAAGCTTTATTACTCGGGCATCGTTGCGAAAGCTAACAGACAACTCGGGTTCATTTTCATCATCATCATCCTGCCTGTCTAAAAGCTCTATACTGCTCTCTAGTGCGATCGATCTTAGAATTCAGCTCGGTAGTATGGTGCCCGTATCAAGCAGTTTGGATAGCGAGGATTGAATCTGTTCAAAGGAAATTTGTTCGGTATGCCTTTTGTCACCTTCCTTGGAATGACCCTGTGAACCTTCCGCCGTACGAAGATCGTTGTCAACTCCTGGGTCTTGAAAAACTAGAACATAGGCGGACGATTAGTCAGGCCGTGTTCGCAGCGAAAGTACTTATTGGTGATATCGACTCTCCAGGAATCTTGGCTGAATTCAAAATCTACGCACTCGAACGAGCTCTTCGGTCAAGGAGTTGCCTGCATCTTGGACCTCGTGCTGCGAACTACAGCTTGCATGACCCAATACGGTTCATGTCTGGGCGTTTCAACGATTTTCACGAGTTCTTCAATTTTAACTGTGCAGCGGAAACCTTTCGTCACCGTATTCAACGCAGACTCCTGAGAAGGTGAGTAGCTGTGCATTTAATGTACACGTGAAGAATTGTGCTACCTGTTTAATTTTTGTTTCCGGTTCAACTGCATGACGAGGACTACCTGATTCACGGACAACTCAATGCCATAGGAGGATAACTTTTTTATGCTATAGACTTGATTAATGTTCGTTGTAATTGTATTGTAATATTGTGATTCATGTATTTCGAAAAGATATGGGGTTTTTATGCATTTTCTAGGCTTTTCCCCATCAGGCTTCATTTAGACTCGTTAAATCCGATGAAGAAAAACAAATTAAATAAATAAATAAATAAATATGCCATCACGATATCGATTCTGCTAACGGGTTGCCAGAAAACGATCCTCTGGATATCCGGAATCACCGGGAATGTGGCAATTCCTGATAGTAGATCTGGAGTAGATTGCGTTTGTATGCTGTATGTATAGAGAAAATATGCCATAACCAAATCGATTTCATTGCCGGGTGGCCAGAAAACGGTCCTGTGGATATACGGAATCACCGGGAATATGATAAATTCCTGAAAGAAGACCTAGAGATTCACGATTTTGCCTAAATTGCATAAGATCATGAGCATAGAGGAAATAAGCCTTCACCATATCAATTCTGCTAACACGTTGACAGAAAATGGTCCTTTGGATATCCGGAATCACCGAGAATATGGCAATTCCTGCTACCGGGTGGACTGAAAATGGTCCTGTGGATATACGGAATCACCGGGAAAATGGTCAATTCCTGAAAGTAGACCGGGAGATCCGTGATTTTTTCTAAATTACATACGATCATGAGCATAGAGGAAAAATATGCCATCACCATATTGATACTGCTACCGGGTAGTCTGAAAACGGTCCTGAGGATATCCAGAATCACCAACAAAATGGTTAATTCCTGAAAGTAGACATAAAGATCTGGGATTTTTTTTTCTAAACTTCCAGCAACTCCATATCGATTCCGCTACTGGGTGGCCAGTGAACGGACCTCTGAATAAGTGGAATCACCGGGAAAATGATCCATTCCTAAAGGTTGGCTAGGAGAACGCTATTTCAATCATGAGCATAGCAAAAATATGCCAAAACATTATCGATTCAGCTACCAGGTTGCTGGAAAACGGTTTTCCAGATATCTGGATTGTTGTTGCTGTCTCTTAAAAGATTATTATACCATAAGATATATTTTAAATCTCATCTTGATCGACACAGTTTTTAATATAATTGCCTTTATTATTGTTTACATGTGACATGTTTTTATTGATCCAGAAATGCATATATAAACCATATGACCATAACTTTTTTTTCATCAATTTGTTTTTCGTCGATCTTGTTTTCCGTGATGAGTGCCAATGCTACCGATGCCAAGGAGGCAGCTCCCACACATGCCTATCGACCCCTCAACTCATGAACCGGGGACCAACGGAAGGCGTGATCAGAGATGTTATGTCTCAGATCATCCCGAC